AATTCATGGCACTAGGTGGTAATGGTTTTATTGTCATTCCATAGTTAATCAGCTCTAAAACAGCACCAATTGGCTTAAATATATCATGGGATAGTCACATAAATTTCAAGAATCCAATATATTAAATCCGATTAGCACAACCCCACACTCAATTTTTGCTTGTCTCTAAGCAACGACTCAAACAACACAAACACATAACCAACCATAACAATGACACACCACAGACTCACTAATCAAACACTCAAATAAAAATAAATTCCTTGTACTCTTGTTGTAATTTGTAGTTTCTTTCTCAAAGGACACGTTGTGCTTTAATGATCATACCTTTCACCCCACACTCAAGGTCTTGCAACCCTTTAACCATTGACTGACTCAAATCCACCAAAAACTCAAATAGCAACACTCAATTCCGATCGTCGGTAGTGGGTGATTAACAACTTATGGTGCACCAATTATTAGGAGAATCTAACCACATCAGTGAGGTGCATATCTCGTGAGGACAATCTGGCTTACTCACACCAATCATAAACAATTAACAAAGCATGAGTCTCAAAAAACTAATGGGGGAAGCCTTTCGCAAATATGATTTTAACTTTAAGCACATCACTACCTTTTATGACAAGGAGAGGCTTTCTCTCTTTCTGCTTTTGCTTGTCGAGTGGTCGTATTTAGTACAAGTGGGATTTGTTTCTTACTACCGGTGACCGAGCAAAAACAATTTCTGCTTCTTAGCACTCGCATAAGGGCTTCTTTTAACTCCTTTTCCTTGGTCCGTGTGGAGGGTCATTGCACATCCTCTAATGGCACTTCACTCAACTGGGGATCGTACTTGATAAGCAACATCGTACGGTCGCGAACCGATTCTCAATTGAATCTTTCCTAATCCCCATGTGCAATGAGTGATTGCCTCACACGATTTTGGCATTTTTACCCACACTTAAATTGTTATGGCAACTTTCTTATATTTTACTTGTCAGGTAGTGTTTTCTTTTATGCAGATACAGTTCACCCCATCATAAAACAATCAAAACAGAGAGATTCGTTGCAAAATCAAAAGCTCATAGTTGATGCAAGTAAGCACGGTATCCAAACATATCGAATGGTCAATGTTCTCCACCTAACTACTTCACCAAAAGTCATTACACTATCCTCACAAAAGAGAATGTTGCTAAAAGAGTTTGCTCATTCAAAGCATATCAAGTCAGTCAAAACATTCAAGCTCATTGTGAAGAACTATGCAATTCAACACTAGTGGGGTGATTTTGATAATTCCATTCAAGCACAAACTCATTTTCAAGGCATCACGGTCATTTACATCATGTTACCACAAGAGTACAAGGTTTTGTTTTTAATTTTTCTGATTTTTAGGTGTTTTTTAGCCATTAGGTTAGCACAGGCAGACTGCACCTGCACAAGTAGACTGCATGCAGTTTGACTATGCATAGCCAAATGACAGTTTTTTTTACCACATGCAATAGGGACAAACAAGCACTAAGACTCACCACCCCACACTCAGGATGGAACAATGTCTCTAATGTTCAACTCCTAATCTAAACATGCACGTGTTTGACACAACTAAAAAGAAAAATAAAGAAAAGAAAACTTACCTTGGGTTGCCTCCCAAGAAGCGCTTGTTTAACGTCCTCAGCCTGACGTTCATGGAGATTTCAACCAATGGGTATGGAAAGGTATTCAGAATACCCTACCGAACAATTATAGAACGCATAACCTCCATCCAGCATATGAGTCACCTCTGCAGGGCCAGGTGTGCGAAAATTGGGTATGACCTTCTTAGCTTGCATGTTGGACCCCTTAGTGAGGCGTAGGTGGTATTGCAGTGCCTCAAGCAAGTACTCTTCCTGTTTCAATGTCAGTGAAGAAGGAATAATAACAGGAAGATTGAAATCCTTACCCAAATATCTATACTTGAGGTGATCTGGCAAGGATTTCTGTCCTTGCTTTGATTTCAGAATCTGAGGTGATAGGATATGTGATCGTTCTTCATGTGGTCCACTATGACAAGAAGATGAATTTTTCTTTTCTCGAGCTCCACTTTCAAACTCATCAATTGCATCGTGATTATGATCAACTTTAAAGACAGTAAAAATTTCCTCCTCCTTACCTACTCGGAATGTCAACTTGCCTCTCCCAACATCGATGAGTGCATCACCAGTGGCTAGAAAAGGTCTACCAAAAATGAGAGGTACTCCGCGATCTTCTTCCATCTCCAGAATTACAAAATCTATTGGGAGAATAAACTTCCCTACCTTCACCAATACATTCTCCACCACTCCTTTTGGAATTTTCACTGATCGATCAGCCAATTGGAGAGTGATCCGAGTAGGCATAAGAACATCTCCCAATCCCAATTTCTTGTAGACTGAGTATGGCATCAAATTAATGCCTGCTCCTGGATCACAGAGTGATTTATCGAACTCTCTACCTCCAATGACACATGGAATGGTGAAGCTTCCTGGATTATCCCTCTTTTCTTGTAATTTATTCTGAACCACGGCACTACATTCAGAAGTAAGGGTTACCTTCTCCAGATCAGCCCATTTGCGCTTCTTTGTCAGCAACTCCCTTAAGAATTTAGCATATGTAGGCATCTGTTCAAGTGCCTCCACCAACGGTATGTTGATATGAAGTTGCTTGAAGATATTCACAAATTTCTTGAAGTTTGGGTCTTCCATGGGCTTCATTAATCTTTTAGGGAATGGTGCAGGAGGTTCATAAGGTTTTACCTCTTCATTCTTGAATTTTTCCACCTTTGGAGGTGCACAGGCAGAATGCTCATGCACAGGCAGATTGCATGCAGTTTGCCTGTGCAAGTCAGATTTTTCAGCTTTTGCACTTTCTTCATCCTCTATCTCTTCAACTCCTTTTTCTGATTTTGTTCACTTCCTCGAACTCTCTGGATCCTCCAAGGCCTTTCTACTCCTCAATATGACAGCTACAACCATGGCATCCTTCGGATTCCTCTCGGTATTTGCTGGTAAAGTTCCCGGAATCCTACCTTGAATATCTGCCAAAGTTTGAGCCATCTGGCCTATTTGCCTCTCCATAGCTAGCATAGATGATTGCATATTATTGTTGATGGCTAGCTGTTGAGTGACAAATTTATCAAGACCCTTGAAATTATTGTATGTTTTCTGCATATGAGCCAAAATCAACTCCTCCAGCTGGGGCTTCTTCTCTGGTTGAGGCTGCTGCTGTTGAAAACCAGGAGGTGGGATGTTTCGAACACCAGCTGAGTTATTATTCGACCATGACATGTTGGGGTGTTTTCTCCATTGAGGGTTGTATGTGTTTGAATACATACCACCCTGGCCTTGACTTCGTGGATTATTGATATATTGGACATCTTCCAACTGAGCAGCTCCCAGTGGACACATATCCCCATGATGAAGACCCTCGCAAAGTTCACATGAAACAACCTCCTCTTGTCTACCCAGAGAAATCTTGGCCAGCCTTCGTTCGAGTGCATCGAACTTAGAATCCAGCTTGGCATCTATCTTGGCTTCGAGACTTGTAACTCTGTCAACTTCATGAAAGCCTCCTCTTCTTCGAATATTGGTCTCACTACCACCCCATTCGGTGGCTTCTGAAAAGATCTTCTCTACCAGTTCATATCCTGCTGGAGCCTCCATCCTTGTGAAACCATTTCGAGAAGCATTATTTAGGGCATCTCGAAACTCCCTTCTGATTCCATTGAAGAAAATAATGATCAAGTTCCAATCTTCAAGACCATGGCTTGGGCATCTCATCAATAGCCCCTTATAGCGCTCCCATGCCTCAGTCAGACTCTCATCATCAGCCTGCTTAAAAGTAACAATATCTTCTTGCCTCTTCATTGCCAAGGCAGGTGGGAAGTATTTATCTAGAAAGACCTTCTCAAGCTGAGCCCATGTCGTGATGGAACGTGGTGTTTAGTTCTGAAACCAGTGTGATGCATTCCCTATCAGAGAGAATGAGAACATCCGAAGATGAATTGCATCATCAGACACAGTTGGGCTCTTCATCGTATCACATATGCTCACAAACCGGCGGAGATGCTCGTGAGGATCCTCATTGCTAACCCCCGAAGAAAGTATATCCATTGGTGATCATATTGATGAATTCTGGGGTAATTTCCATGGTTGCATCCCCAGCCGGAATGACAACACATGAAGCTCGGGCTCCAGTCCTTCGATTCAGCCGAGCCCTGATTGATCGATTCTCGTCTGCCATGATGTCTGGCTCAATGTCACGAGGTGGTGGTGTCGGTGGTGTAGGGACGACAGGTGATGAAGCCCGCACTCTCTGTTGACGATTCTTGGTTAGGTAAGGCCTAGGAGTTGTGGTTGTGGTTGGCTGCTTCCCTAACTTGACCTTCTTCTTGTTCTATCGGCAGGTCTTCTCGATCTCCGGATGTAGTAGCAGTAGAATGCCGGTCGTCCTCCTTGGCATGCACGAGGAGGATAAACATGAAAAATTCACCTGCACACTAACACCCAGATCAAAATAGTTCACTCACAATAATCAATAAAAAACAAGGTATGGCAGTCCCCGGCAACGGCGCCAAAAACTTGATAAGGCAAAAGCGTATTGCTTCAATTCCTATCTTGTAGTAAACTGGAAATCCGGGTATCGTCTATCAGGGACTGGTACAACCTTTTAATTTATCAATTCTGTGGAGCAAACTATAAGTGAAAAATGGTTTGATCTATGAGATTATTAACTAATAGAAAAATAGTTAAACTAATTAAGCAAAGTAAACTTGTCGGGAGAAATTCAATGGGAGAAAGCTCTGGGAGAAACACCGGGACTCGCTACCTATCATATCCAAATTAATTCACATATTCCAATCAATTTAATCCAACTCTCTACAGCCAGGATATCACGAATGTGCTAGCTATCCCTGTCGGGAATTACTACACACTAAACAATTAATTCAAATCCTACTGTTGTAGCTCAATGAATTAACTATTTAGCCTCAAGAATGATATCATATTTAAGACCGCATAGCACCTTATTTAATCCACTGTTGCTTCGATAAGTTACTATGTCACATGAAATATGTTCAGTTATTAGGGTTTCACTATCACTAATAACCTAATTAACAACAAGTCAATGTATTGGTGGCCAGTCAACACAAAGCATTAATTAATTTCATGCAATAGAGATTGGAAGAAAAGAAATATGAATCAATCCATCAAATATAGAAATAGCTACATATTATGGTGTTTCCCCCATAAATTGGGGTTTAGTTCATAACGAAAATAAAACACACAATCATGTTCTTGATCATCATGATGCCAGTAACGAAAAGGAGACAAAATACTGATACGAATAGAAGCACAAAATCTTATTCTCTCTTCCGATTCGAGGTACTAGTGATATGCTCCAATTGCTGCGCTCGTCCTTCATCTCGTTCCGCGCTGCCGCTCCGTGTCCCTGGCTCTCGATCGCCTAAAGAATTCATTTTCTGAGAATTCTGTTCCGTCTCCAATTAGTCGTCCGCCTAAGCAATTCCTTGTCCCAGAAGAAGCTTTGCCAAAAAACCCTTCCGTCCAAATTAATTCATCCCCTGGGCCCAGTCTAATTAATGGCCGCCTCCTTTTCCCCCCCAAGCCAAAAGAGATTCCTCGGGTCCAATTAATGTGGACCTCTCTTCCTTCACCCTCTGTTATGGTCCAAGTCTCAGGCGAGAAGGAAAAAGATTGGGCCCTGGCCCATTGTTAATTCCATAGGTGGAAGGAAATAATTCCTTCTCATCCGAAAATATAAAGCGCCTGTTTTTTTTTCTTCGATAGCCTGTTTGTGTTAACATTTTTCTTCACCTACAACATATAGAATTCATGGCACTAGGTGGTAATGGTTTTATTGCCATTCCATAGTTAATCAGCTCTAAAACGGCACCAATTGGCTTAAATATATCATGGGATAGTCACATAAAGTTCAAGAATCCGATATATTAAAGCCGATTATCACCAGTCAACCGTGTGGATAACTCCCTCCTTGTTGCGTAAGTCCCACGAGTAAGAAATTTCTTGGACACGCGGGAACTTGGCCAAAACGACACTAAGCCAAAATCCATAATTTCCCACCACGGTTCAATCCTCCAAACAACCCTGTCCACATAATAAACAACGACATTGAAACACACGCCATCGTTGAAAATTGGTTAAGAAATGTTCCACCGTTTCTCCTAGTTGTTGGCGAGTTCGTGCCAAGTCTGCCATTGTTAATTCTGGCTTAGAATAGTAGAACTGGTCATGGAACATCTGTTCCATTTGCTGCCAAGTTTGAACCGAGTTCGATGGCAAGTTAATGTACCACGAGAATGCAGGACCCGTCACCGCATTGAACTGTAAATCGTCCAACGTGTTCAACGGTGGACTAATCTCTAATTCCGTTGAAGGTGATGAAATCTGGTATGCGAAAACCACGTGGAAAGGGATAATATCTATCAACCAAGTTCGGATATGGTTTTCGGTACCCCGGCGGCATCGTTGGTCTAATCCCTAAACCAAACTGATCCGCCAGCATCTGTGCTACCTGATCTCGAATCACATTAACGTCTTGCCCCCCGAGTTTCCCCCCTTGTGGTACAAATCCACCAGGATCCATGCCAGGGGTAGCCGCGTGGTGGAACATGATCATTCTTGTTCATTCCTCCACCAACAACACCACTCATCGGACCCACGTACGGTCTGGCTTCCGGGATATTTTGTGAACCCACATTGTGCATCGGTGGCGGCTCAACACGAGTGTTAGCCGCAGTGTTGGTCTCGCCATGATTCACACTCGACGGAGTTGTTGGATTCAACATCGGTGTCGGTGGAACACCCTATCTCGGCTCAGTATCTCGACCGTCATTGACCGGAAAATTATTGGTGCCAGTATCATTGTGTAACAGATTCTCGCCGCTTAACAGCAAAGCCTTTGTTTGCGGCACTGGCCTACTCAAAAACTCTCTAAATTCATTAAAATCACGTCTGTTACTTTCCAAATCCATTCTGTTTTTATCTACGACTTCAACCAATCGGCTAACACGTCTATCAATCCGAGATCTAAGACCATCAAGACGTCCATCCAAAGAGTCTAAGTGAAGTTTTACCTGTTGGTCATCATTCATGACTTGGCAGAGCATGCACACCATTTCACCCTAGTCAGCGGTTTGCGCCACTGCTGGCACTTCCCCTTCGGTGTCGTTGCTCAAACCGACGTTTGAACCGTCAATCTGGTCAATCTGCATGTTGACCATTTGCTCTTCCTCCACTGTAGTTTGTGGAAGATCTCCCTCGTGATTCCTCCGTCGCGGAGCCATTCGAACACACGTGTCCCACCGAGTGTGCCAATTAGTTTCGATGGCGAAACTCGCGTGTTTAATGCACTCCGTTTTCAAGGAAACACAAAATCAAACAACCGTCAAATATCCACCGCCGAAAGTCGGGCGATGTTGATTTGATCGATAAAATGGAAACCAAGACGACCGTCTAATATCCACCACCGAATGTCGGGCGATGTTGATTTGATCGATGCACCTTTGACTTCTAACTAAGAACAACCGTTATTTGGTTCACCACCTCTCCAAACTAAGTTCGAACGAGGGTGTTCGAAAAATAACGAGGAAACAAGGAGGATCTAAATTACGTTACCTCTACTCCTATGGAGGTTCCTCTAGAGAGCTCCGAGACTACGACTACAATAACTACGACTCTGCAAAGGAGATATTCGACAGAGCTGTTCTACGAAACTAGAGAGAGAAAAGATAGATTCTGCGACGGGGTAGTTTGAGATTTGATTTTGCCGTCTTGAGCTTCTCTCTCTTCCTGATCTTTATACCCCAATCTTCTCCCCGTAGTCATAGTAACTGCCTTCGCACCTTTGTCTCCCACGCTCTTCATTCCTGTCAACCGTGCGGATAACTCCCTCCTTTTTGCGTAACTCCCACGATTACGAAACCGCTTCGACACGCGGGAACTTGGCCAAAACGACACTAAGCCAAAATCTATAATTTTCCACCACGATTCATTCCTCCAAACAACCCTATCCACATAATAAACAAACGACATTTAAAAACACACCATCGCCGAACTCTCGCCACTGCGACGTTGTTTTAAAGTAAACAACGTCGCTTCCTATCCTCGCGGTGTCGTTGGATCTTTGAGACACCGTTGGGCTTATCTCACAATGTTGTACTCCAGGAAACAATGTTGTTTTCTACACCATGACATCGTTTATGTGAAATTTCTCACGACATTGTTTTATATTAAACACTGTCGTTTTCTAATCTGCGGTGTTGTTGATACCTCTCACCGTCGTTTTCGACTAAACGAAACCGTCTAAAATAATCTTTAAAATATTAATTAATTAAACCGGCCATCATTGTTGATACGCCGTCAAACTCTCACTTCGCGACGCCGTTCTTAGTTAAACAACATCGTTTTCTAGTCCTGTGATGTTGTTGAGCTTCGCGACGCCGTTTAATCTTTCCGCGACATTACTTTTCACTAATCAACGCCGCTTTATGGCCTTGTCTAAATTACAACTACAACTCAATAGCTTCGGCCCGGTTTGACCAGCATCGTTATCCGACCTTGTTGTCCATCAAACAGTGTCGTTTTTCAGTCCGAGACATTGTTCAGCCTCTCGCGACGTCGTTAAACTTGCAACTTTGCTTGCATAAAACTCGGCACCGCTTGACATCATTCTTGAGGTCGCGATGTCGTGACTTTGCTTCACTTCATTCCACAACGACATCGAGATCTTGAACTGAACTCTAGCCGCACGACGTTGTTTCTATTAAACACCATCGTTTTCAGTACCGGTGTTGCTATCTCCCACGATGTCGTTTTCGACAAACAATCATCATCCAAAATAATTATTGCAATTATATAATTAATTGAAACTGTCCTTATTGAAAACCTCGGCCATCACGACACAGTTCTCTACCAAACAATGTCGTTTTCTAGTCTCGCGGTGCCGTTGAGCTTTGACTTCTCGGCGCTGTTTGTTTTACTAAGCAACACCGTTTTTTACTCCCTCACGACCAAATCTTCTCCTCCTCCGGCACGGGATAAAGAACACTCCTTTTTCCAAACCTAGTACCAATATTGCGGCCGATGGCTCACGATATTGTTTTCTAGTAAACAATATCGTTTCAAGTACCGTGGTGTTGTCCAGTTCCTTGCGGTGTCGTTTTCTTCCCCAAACAGTTATGTTTGCTTTTTCTTCCGCGACACTGTTTTATAACATTGTCATTTTACCTACTGCGGTATTGTAGGGCTTACTCGCGGTATCGTTTTTAACTAAACGACGTCGTCCAACATAATCAAAAATAACAATTTATTAAACCGCCGAGACTTTGCACTCGTGTAGGGCTTGGCAGATTTTGGACCAAGCACTTACCCGATATGGTTTTTAATTAATCGGCATCGCTTACCAAGGCCTCTCGCGGTATCATTTGTGTCAACATCACCGAAGACACCACCATATATATATATATATATATATATTGTGTGTGTGGACAACTGGTATGCTCCAGATGATCTGACCGTCAGATCTACATGGATTAGCTCCGGCTAATCTCAATGGTCAACTCTTCTTTTCTCTTAAATTGAACTCTGGGTTTGGGATTAGAAAATCGGGGCCTGGGGTTTATCCATTTGAAGTTAGGGTATAGTATCATACCCTAAACTCGATTTAATTCATAATCTAGATAGAGATATATCACTAAGAGTACCTGGAATATACTATACTCGAGGAGTACACTAATTTGAAACCACACATGGTATATTTGCTCATATTTTTTTATCTCACACCATAAATAAAAATCATTCCAACAAAATATTTCATCAAATACAAATGACAATTTTAACTTGACACGATATCTTACCTATCTTTATCCGTTTTGGATAGGCTAAATACACTTGTATAGCCAAAACTTTGGCGATTTTGCCAAATATAGCCACTTTTGGCGAAATACCAGAAATAGCCAGAAATTTAAAAGTTCGATGACAATTATAGCCATTTCCGTTACATAGTTTGACGGCGTCAGTGACACCGTTAATCTAATTAACGGAACAATGATCTGGCTGCCAACTCACTGTATCTTTCCTTCCCACCTCAGCATCCATTGACAGATGGGATGACACGTCATTTTTAAGCAAAAAAACAAAAAAAACCTAAATCAGGGGAATCAGATTAGTATTGTTCCTCTTTCATTTCCCCAATTCAATTCATTTAGGGTTTCAGCCATGAAGATGAAGAGCATCCCGCCGCACTCGTTCACAAACCCAGCTCCACCGATTGAAGCAGCCCGCCGCACTCGTCGATGAACCCAGCGCCGCCGCACTCGACGACGTACCCAGCTCCGCCGCCTTCGTTTCTTTTCGCGCAGACCTTGTCTCTCCAAGTTCCGACAAGGCGAAGAATACAGATCGACCGCGGCGGCATCTGCCTATTCTCCCCCCAGAGCTTGTCGCCGAAATCCTCGCTTGGTTGCCCGTCCGCCCCCTCGTCCGATTGAGGTGTGTCTCCAGATCCGTCAAAACCCAGAACTCGGGAAGAAGGAGATCGGGAATAACCCAGAACTCGTCTCCGCCCTCCTCTAAACCTACTCCCACACCGCCGCCGGCTTCTCCGCCTCCCTCATCGCCGACCGAGCCTCCCGCCTCCTCCGCACCCTGGGAATCCTCTTCGTCGTCCCTGACCAGATCCGCCACCTCCACACCACTCCCCCTCAACTCCGCCTACGGCATCATCATCGGCGTCATCGACACCGGGATCTGGCACCTCTACACCAGCTTCGACAACTACGCCTTCGTCGCCGCCGAGCGCGTGAATCGCCGCCAACAAGATCTGCTGGTCGCCCGGATGCTTCGATTTCTTCACAGATCTCTATGTTGCCTTCTTCTCTGACGATCCTGTCGCTATCACGGTGGGGAAATTGAAACGGATGTTGTATTTTGGGGTTTTTGGTTTAGGAATTGAGATGTTTGCATTTGGGGTTTTTTGTTGGGATAGGCAGATGGTTGCACAATCAGTATATTCGAAGAGGCAGATCATTGACGTGTTGTGAATGGGTTTTTTGGTTAATTTAAGTTTATGTGAAGAAGTGGAGAGGCGGTTCCTCAGCGGCGGTGGTGAGAATGAGCCGGAGGAAGAAATTCGAGAAGATGATCGGCGGTTGGGGAAAGCGAAGGGGAAAGAACCGGGGGAGGGGGGGGAGTGAAAATAATAAACTTTTTTATTTTTATTTTTTCTATTAATTCCAGCTCATATTTTTATAGACTAAAAGTTTGACATGTCAGATTTTCTGTTAGTCCAGTCAGCACGTTAACTCACACCGTCAAAGAATTGGACGGAAATGGCTATTTTTGGTATTTCGTCAAAATTGGCTATGTTTGGCAAAATCGTCAAAGTTTTGGCTATACAGGTGTATTTTGCCTTTTGGATATTACTAAGATCAAATGCGAGACATGGCGAGTATGAGTTCCTTTTGCATCTAATTCCACCATGTTCTAAACTCGCTTGTCTTAATTCAATGAAATATTATTTCAAATCACTCATTTTAACATCTCTTAAATCAAACTTTAACTCTAATACAACAACAATTGACCGAGAGAAACAATATGTCTCTGTTGGAATTCCAATATGACGATAGGTGTTTGTTTTATGCTCAAACAAGACAGAAAAATCAGCTTATTTTCTTAATATAATTCTCTCACTCTTCTTTCTTTCTTTTGTCCTCTTTTATAGAGGAAAAACCTCTAAGTTTTGAGGATGATTTCCAGACAAAAAAAATCCAAAAATACCACTTGTTTCCGAAAATTTCCAAAAATATCACATTTTTCCACAAACTGTAGGGTGGGGACGCGATTTGTACAAGAACCGTTGGAGGTGGCAGCGGTGTTCCCAAGAACCGCCAGGTTTGATAAATGAGCCGAGGTTGAGTTCTACCTTGTTCGGCTCTGTCTGAACGGTGGGTTGATCAAGTTTTAATAAATGAGTTGGCTCATGTTCGACTCAACTCGGCTCGTTTATAAACGAGGCGAACATGAACAAGGCAAAGCTCGACTCGGCTCGGCTCATTAACAGCCCTACGTACTGGTATCCGAGATTCACTTAAGGTTATCTCGTTTGTCTCCTAATCCTAAGCGACGTAGCTCATGGCCTTAACCAAATAATAACAAACTAAATCAAACAAGATTGCAACTAATTTCTACCAAACAAAACCTCCAAATCAAACAAAGTAATCTATGTAGCAAGCTTGTATGCTTCATGGGCCTCCATTCAACCAACGTGGCTACTTCTTTGCATGGAGTGCATGGGCGCATGGATGGGATTAGACTAATGAGTCGATCATTCCCTCCCATTTCAAGTAAGATATTGTCCTCAAGTTCGTCACCACCTATCGCATTTAGTCCCTCCTTCCTTCTACATGTCCGAGGATGAATATGGACTGAGATCATTTCATCGCTAGAAGATGCAGATAACTTGTTGGCCTCGTTAACACGCTTCCTGCATTGAGGACAACAACGGATGGCATTGCGCTTTGACATAAACCAACTTTTCCCAATAACTCAAGTTGTTGAGAGAGGTCCATGTATGGTACTTGATCACTTTCTTATACGCTCTCTCAAATGAAAGCCAACTCATGAGCTTGAAGTTTGCACATGCCCAACCATACCATGTGCTTTAAGACAATGGTTAATATCAGGGGTCATGAGTACTTGAATACGTGACCTCAAAGACAAACCTGCTCTAATACAATGTCATAAACCAATTGGTCCTAATAACTTGAGTTGTTGGAGAGGTCCATCTATGGTACTTGACCACTTTCTTATAGAGCAAGCCACGAAAGGCAAAGCGCATGTGGAGTTCGCATCACGATCTCCTGGGATGGAAGAGATTGTTTCGTGGTGATGGTTGAGGCGAGCAATAGCGATGGTGATGGCGTCGCAACGAGGGGGACAATAACATATGGGGAAGCGAGGAGTGGGTTATGTACCTTGTTGATCTCTGGTGGTCTCAACGCAGTGATCGACTCGACTTCGGGTGGAGGTTGCTCAACGAACGAAAGCTGCGAGGAGTGCTTTACGACGGCCCAAACAGTGTTGTGGCGGGTAGGACAATAGGGGCTGAGATAATGTGACTAAGGAAGGTCCCCTTAGTCACATGGCTAAGTGAATCTCTACCCTTGCACCTCATTAAAATCCAAGGGCTCCTATTAATTCAAT